AATATAATCAAAGAGTTATAAATCATTTCAGCAATAAAATAAAATAAAAAATGAAACAAACACTAATAAGAGACAATTCACAAAGTAAATAAAGTGCTTGTGTTTACACAAGTAATAACCAATTTCAACAAATTACTGTATATGTGATTTACAGCTGTGGTCAGATATAAAATATATTCACAAGGATTTTGGGTCTTACGGCGATATTTAAGGCATTGAGTTACCAATATAATTTTTTGGTGATCGAATGTATATTTTTGTAAGCACTCTAAAATGCAAAACAAAACTTCAGCCATCCCTTTTAGTGTAAAATAAAATAACTTACCTAATGAATCCCTAAAATATGACCAGACTGCTACAACGAGACAAAGCTTTCACTGTGTCCACAGCAGCACATACATTATATAAGAAAATATATAAATAATATCAGGAAAATTAGTCCCTGATACACAAAGGCACATTATTAATATTTATGTAATACTAGAAAGAAAATTAGGCATATGATTTAAACTATTGTAAGTGAACAGATAGGTGTCTAAAAGACTTGTGAAAAACACAGATGGAAATCAGTGCATTGCTGTTGTGTACCTTTTAATTTGGGCACTGGAAATGAGTTTTCAGTTTTAGTTAACCTAAGCTAGTATTTCTTAAAATTAATGGTTCTTGTCACGATTAGCAATTGACATAAATTACATAAGTGTAAAAGAAATAAGAGCAATATTTGTCAAACAAGGTGGTGAATAGATGTTTAGTCAAGAGAAGATAATGTTGTCTAACTTACCAGCCAAGAATGACTTTTTCAAAAAGAAGCATTTAATAATAGCATGAATGAATGCAAGAAATTGTATATGGCCAATAAAGTGATCTTATCTTACTGTATGTCATGAATGTCATGGATATCTGACCCAGAGAAATGTTTGACTTTTCCATTATATTTTTTTTGTTTACAACATTCTTTTAAATGGAAGTATGGACCTAAATTATGTGATTGTGTGATCATTCTTCATATACATATATAGTATTTTTAAAGATTATTCACTTATATTAGAGGACAACTGTTATCAAAACCCATTGTAAATGATTTGTGTAAAGTACTCTCACCTTTACTGACTGTCTTTGCTTTGCTGATACAGCAACTACTTTGTAAAGCAGCCATTCATGGGTCAATCGCCAGTCACATCTTTCAATAAGAAGATAAGGATTCTGAAATGCACTATCATCATAGATGCTTCTGACAGTATATTATTATCCATGTAGGGGTGAAATGTTTTTCAGAGAACACAGAGCTCTCTCAAGTGCTACTGAAGGGTGACTACAAACATGAAGTGTCATCTGATTCTACATACTGTAGAATGAATATGAAAAAAAATAAAATTGATATCTGAACTACATCATTTTTTCACTTCTGTACATTTTCCTAGCATAGACATCATTTGCAGTATAAAAATGTGAATTTTTCTTTCCAAATCTGTACACAATATTTCATCTAAACAAGCCAGTCATTAATATTCATTTGCAAAACTCTTTCAAATAACCTGTTAATGTTATTCTAAATTTTAGGGTTCTTAAACCTTTAGAAGGTTTCTATTAAATTGAACATTTGAATCAGTATTGTGAGTGAATCAAAATACTTACAGTATTATATGTACAGTAGATGCATATTGGCATGTGTAAGCTAGTACATTTACTTTCTACATGACTTGCATCCTATATTGCTATTTTCAAAGTGCCAAGCTTAATGCTTTATTTATTGTAAAATAAAAAACTGACAAAATACAGTATAGCTGCTTTGGGCAGCACAGTGGCGCAGTAGTTATTATTGGTGCCATGCAGCGTTGGTAACCTGGATTCAATCCCCACATGGAGTTTGTTTGTTCTCCCTACATTTATATGGGTTTTCCTCTGGATTCTCCAGTTTCCTCTCATAACCCAATGACATACTGGTAGGTTCATTGGCTTATGTGAAATGTGGCCTTGGTGTGAGTGTGTGTGTATTTGTGTCTGTGTGCTAAGGCCTGGCAGCCTGTCCAGGCTGTATCCTGCCTTGTGTTTGCTGCTTGCAAAGATAGGTTCCATTTATGTTTGATATCTTCTCATCTTCTGTTATTATAAAGCCTTCAACAGAATGTACACCAAGTTTCCTAAATTGTTCCTAATCTGCCCTCATTTGAATTCCTCCAGTTACACATTACGTGTCAATAAATGGATTAGAAAGCTAATGACAAAGTGAAACAGAGCAAATCAAATTATTCAAATCACTTGATCAACCTGAATGCACAGCACACACAGTTATGAAGTGTTTCATTTTCTTTAATGAGTGTTTTTAAACTTTATTTTGGTTTAGTGTTTTAAATATGAGCAGAAATAGGAGAACATAGACACAACAGTACCTGGCTGTTCAAAGTAAGTGCATAACATTCTTTGAACTGAAGTATGACAATCCAAATAATGAATTAAAGACTTCTATGTTTACTCAACTCTTGGTATTTTTCATTTACCATAGATTATGTAGGGAAATCTTTGCAACCAGCAGTTATATCACTCAGCAGCTCATACCTGGTAGCCCACTGAAGCTACGCAGGTGTGGGCCTGGTCAGTACCTGGATGGGAGACCTACTTGGAAAGTTAAGGTTGCTGTGCCTGGTAGTGTGTGTGGATCCTAATGCCCCAGTACAGTGACGGGGACATTATGATATAAAAAGGTGCCATCCTTTAATAAGACCTAGGTCACGACTCTCCGTGGTTATTAAAATCTCAGGATGTTTCTCAAAAAGAGTATGGGTGTTAACCTGGCATCCTGGCCAAATTTCCCATTTTCAATCAGACCCCTAAATAATCTCCATCTATGAATTGGCTTTATCACTCTGTTCTCCCCACTGATAGCTGGCATGTGGTGAGTGCACTGGCACACTGTGGCTGCTGTCGCATCCCCCAGGTGGGGGCTACACCATCACCTGTAAAGCGCTTTGAGTGGAGTTTTCAGAAAAGCGCTATATAAATGTAATGCTATTATTATTTGTAATATAGTGCATATTTGTAATATAGTGCATAGTGCATGAAATATGTGTGTGTTCTTAATCTAAGCATTTTGATCGAACCATAGTTAAGGCAGAGAAGAGGTGCGATAGTGAACTTTATCGGGGGAACTCGACCCAGTTGTGGAGAATGACCACCTGTCTGTAAGGGCTGTCAGAACTCCCCCCTCCTCCTTTACTGAAGGATAACGTTGATGTAAAGGTGAAGGGAAGGTGGGGGAAGGGAAGGATGTGAAAAAGAAATGAGCAAGAAGAGTGATGTTTATACTGGATTTAAAATGGATTACAATTTACTGCCTTTTTCTATCTCTTACTGTGATCAAGCAGTACCAGAGTACAGATACTTTTAGTTCCCATTTTTTTTCTGCTTTAGTTTCTGCCCCCTTACAGTACAGTATATCATATAGAGATAGTGCATTTGTACAGCAGGTACAATAATAATATTATGGTTTATTTTCATGGAAGAGGTTATGATCAACCGCACAGAAAAAAAAACCAAATACTTTAAGCTTTGTTTAATTTAAGATAAGAAGATCCTAATGTCTGACTTTGTCTCAAAAGAAAGTGTAATGTAGCTTTAATCTTACAACTAAAGATGTCAATTAGAATCTAAACAGAAAACCTCATATTAAGAATATCTGCTGTTCCACCTCAATAACACTCTGGAATGGAACTTGAATAACAGGCTATTATTTTACTGTGTATAGTATTGTCGGTCGTAAGCGTTACAGTATGAATGAAAATGGTGAGCCTACTCATCACAACTTTCTCAATTGTTAAAAAGGGAAACTTTTCATTATTAACCAGGTCCTTAGTTTTTAGTTACTTTATTACAATATTGTTAATCGTGCAGAACATAGCCTGTTCTACTAAGAACAAAACCATGCATAATTTTCAATGTACTGTCCTGTTCCAGACAATTTCATTTTTGTGGAGATGACTCCTGATTATCCTTGTATTGTGTCTAATATGACAAACACCAAATTCACTGGAAACATTACAGGGAAGCTCTTGACTGCTGTGAGATCCATAATTCTAGTTACTCATGAATAATAAGTTTTCACTAAAGTCACAGCACAGTGATTTTTACACACATTTTTAAAATCAATAATGAGCTGCTGAAGTTGCAAAACTAAGGTAAAGAACACAAGGAAATCTGGCACTGCACTATACATTCCAAGTTAGCCTTGAATAGTACAGTATATGAAGACCATAAATCGTTCTTTTCTGTATCAATAAAAATAAAATAAATGTTATTCATTTTTCTTTAAATATAAGCATTGCACACTATATACTGCTTGAGGAGACCTACACTATGTAAATATAACCAATGTGCTATGATAATGTAGAAATAAAAAATATGGTGTATGATAGAATATTTATGTGGAAAACAACTGTAGTTACTGATACAGTCAGAATCATTATTTTATTTAAGAATTTAGATTCACTAAAGCTTGATGGCACATTAAATTATATTTCAAGAATATGCAATATAAACTATAGCACCAATACTTTGAAAAGGAAGAAATATTTTCTGAAGTAAAAGAGTAAGTGCTTCATTTTACTTCAGCATGAACCTCCAGGACTGAAATGAGACATTAAAAAAAGACATATGTCTCTTAAAAAACATTTAACACTTAAAATGTATTTGAGGATAACACACTTCCTTTGTATATTAAAATATATGGAGTGTCTTCCTTTGTATATTAAAAAAGCTGTGAAATTGAGCTTATAAGATACTAAACAGAGGTGATGATTGATCAGCTTTATCTGCATTTGTATGTGAATTGTTCTGTAGGATTTCAATGGACACTCTAGCTACGTATCTATTCTTGAATTCATTATAACTCCTGATACTTTGCTGTATTAAATAATACAAGTATTGTATAAATGCTTTATATTGCTAAAATAAATACATTGTTTTGTTGGATAAACACTGCTGACATTTCTCTCTTTCATTAACAGACCAGCAATATTCATGGTCACCATCTCAGCACTTCAATGAGGACAGATACTCTCCTACACCAAGGAACATGAAGGGTTTATCTGGCAGCCGAACACAGCCCCAGATCACATCAGGACACACTTGTGGCTTAGCGGAGTGCGAACATTCTCATGACCACCTTCATCATGGCCAAGATTCTCGGCAATCCTATCTGCTCAGCCCTTCAGACAGCTGCCAAATGGACCATCACCGTTGTTCCCCGCGCAGCTCCATCCACTCGGAATGCATGATGATTCCCACAATAATGGGCGACCACGTCTCCAGCAGCACTTTCCCCAGAATGCACTACAGCTCTCATTACGACACGAGGGACGACTGCGCCATGTCGCACGCCAGCAGCAAAATCAACCGCATCCCAGCCAATCTCTTAGATCAGTTTGAAAAGCAGCTGCCTCTCCACAGGGATGGCTTCCACACCTTGCAGTACCAGAGGACCTCCACAACCGAGCAGCGCAGTGAGAGCCCGGGCCGAATACGCCACCTCGTCCACTCGGTGCAGAAGCTCTTCACAAAGTCCCACTCTTTGGAGGGGTCTTCCAAAAGCAACATGAACGGGACGAAAGGAGACAGCAGGAGTGACAGCCATCACCACAGCCACCACTCCAAACACAGCAAGAGGAGTAAAAGCAAGGAGAGGAAGCCAGACTCCAAGCACCGGTCAGGGATGACAGGCTGGTGGAGCTCTGATGACAATCTGGACAGTGACAGCACTTATAGGACACCCAGCGTCATGAGTCGGCACCACGTTGACCACATCACTCATTGTTACCCCGAGTCTATACAGGGCCACTTTGGAGACCTCACACTAAAGACTTCCAAAAGCAACAATGACGTGAAGTGCTCTGCTTGTGAAGGGCTGGCCATGGCCCCAGAGGGAAAGTTCATGAAAAGGAGCTCATGGTCCACCCTCACTGTCAGCCAAGCCAAGGAAGCATATCGGAAGTCCTCTCTAAATTTGGAAAAGCCAATGGTGCATCAGGATATTAAAACCCCCTTGAGGCCATGCCACTACCTACAGGTAATGAAAAAATGTTTTCCTTTAATCTAAGCAGCTGTGTATAATATTGTAATGCACCAGGGGCTCAGGCGGGCACCCTTGCCGCATTAGGTCGGCCCCGCTAAGCCGGGGGCTCGAACCCGGACTCCCGCGTCTCTTAGCCCGGTGAGCTAAAGAGAGATCTCTCTACAGCCCAGGGGCTGTTGTCCTGCTATTACAGGGAAGGGTGGCGACATCACCGCTCTGGTAAGCCGGCTCTTACACAGTACCTGTCGGCCGTATGTGTTACAATATTCTTTGTCTTGATGCCATACCAAAATAGAACACCTGGCATCGTAAATACTGCAAAGGAACAAGTAGAAGTCCACACTGAAAAGTAGAAAGGAAGAAAAATCATGAAATGTGGAGCTTTTTTCAGGTGACCTTCACAAGAAGTCATATATAGTCAAATATTGTTTTGTTTTTTTTTCATTTTACTAGTTCCTTGCAGTTCGCAATCTGATGCAGCTCCTCACTCGAATCATTAATGTTGGTTTAATTGAGGTCTGTTTCTGTTTTATTTTTAAATCTGTTTAAATCTTTTTAAAACTGTATAAAGTGGCTACTGTATGTCAAATGTAGCTAATTTGGCCGATGAAATCTGAGGAGGGAGTCTGCCGATCAAAGTAACGTTATCAGGTCTTTGGTTTCATTGGGTATTTGCAAATTGATGTTGAAATCCTTTGAGGCTTGTGTGAAGTTTTAATTAAAGATTTTATAGGGCATGTTTATTATGTAGTGCTTGTTGAAGAGCAGAAAATAAGGTACAATGGTGAGTTAAAGACTTTCTTGGCAAACTAGGTAGCAGGTTTGGTTTCCTACCAAACCAAACTTCCTTTCACATAAAGGAAAGTTTGATTGTGAGAACCATCCTGGAAATATTCTGTATGTTAGCAAAGGTTTATGTTTTGTAAACATGCTAAAATAATTCAAAGTAATCTAAGCCCATATACTGTACATGACAAAATGAGAAAGGTTTTCTTATAATTGCATGCCCTTTTGAAAAAGAAGCATTGCACACTATAGACTTCACTGCCCAGGTTGTACTGTATAGTTTTTAAACTAAAAAAATAACTTACAGTACCATTGGATCATGAAATTGATCCTATATGCACACAATTTATTATTTTGTTCAGTTTCTTATTCAAAACAGAAATATATTTAGGAGTATATGTTTGAGCAATCCTGTTCCTATTCTGCTGTATTTCATTTTCTGTTCTTTTACGCTATACAGTATCTAACATTTCTGTCCTAGTAACCTTTTGTGTGAAATTGATTTCTTGTGTTTAGAAACTTGACATTTATTGTAAAATGGATTTTAGAATCAATTCAAAATGAGTCAAGACTTCACCATAGGATATTTTTAATAATTAACTTTAATATAAATTGGATTGTTAGAGCTAAACTGAACCAGTGTCTGAAGGCAGATCTATATTTAGGTCCCCAATAGAAAATAAGAAAATATGTACAATATTTGTCTCAGGAGGTTGCATTTACAGGTCACTAGCAATAAACAATGTGGTATCCTGCTGTGAAGCGATGTTTGATTCAGTTACCCTACTGACACACTTTACATGCAGCTTCAAGCTAATGTAACTCTAGCTCTCTAAACCAAAAAGGAGAAGATTTCATGGATTACATCATACCAGCATACTGTAGGAACAAGTTCGTGGTTAGAGGTTAGTGCCACACTTAAAAAACAGAAAGGAAGAAAAACACATGACCTCCTTTAAGCTTTAACTAATTAGTCTCATATGTCACTTCTATCCACATCTGAGCATGGAGCTGATGCACATCTTGTAAGTGGCAACCAATTTGAGTGTAAACTATCAGCTAAACTGGATAAGACTGATCGTTAAAGACTCATAAAAGTTTATTTTACTGACAATGGTTTAGCATAGATGTACCTGTGTGTTCTAAATTCAAAAGAGGTCATCGGATAGTCGCTGTTCTTCAGATTACAATTCCACTGGACTTTGAATATATAATGTATTGAATCAATAAACCAAATTTGTCAAATAACTACAACAATTGAATGAAAACTGGGAGAGTTTGCGTTCTTAGCTGAGTTCAGGTCCATGGGAGCACAACTAGGGATACAAATGAAAAATGTTCATGATAGCGTACTGTATAGAGGTGCACTAAATAGCGAGCTTATTTCCCTAGCACCAGCACTGTGATTTTAGCACAATAAACGTTAGCAGAAAAAGTAGACATTTCAAATGATTTACACATGAAAAAAGCAAAAATAAAATTAAATACATTTTTTTTTATTTTACTCATCTATTCAACTTTATAACCTTTTGTAGCATAGAGCCATAGAGAGATAGAACTGGAAAAGACTTAAAGTAGGAATAGCAGGGTACAACGTAAACTTTTAGTACCATTAGACCATATTTTGTACTGCTGATGGGTCAGATATGATGCTTTTAGAATTAATTCAGTCCAAACTTTAAACCTGATCCAGGCACTGATAACTGTTAATCCTAATGCATTCTTCAGGAAGCCATTTAATGAACAATTCTGACTGCGGTAAATACATAGTGCTATTAATAGTGAGCAGTTTTCAATTGCCGAGATATATTTAGGCAGTATTATCAATCCTCTGATGATGACGCATTTGCAAGGAAGATTTTATACTTTCTCTGAAGGAATGAGATAGAAATGCATTTAAAATTATTGGAAGTCTGAACAAAAATAGCAATAAAAGGCTCCAGTTATTTCTGTCTATGTACAGTATGCCAAGAGGTCAAAGATTTCAATACATACTGTACAATTTAAGAATAAGGGAATGAAAATCCCATTTTTAGGTAATGGTTGACTAAGGTCTTTAAGAGTAATCACTGAAGCTCACTTGACATGTTGTGTTATAACATCATGCTGGGAAAATGAAGCCTTTTTGAAAGACCATATTAAATTTTATAACCTTTTTAGTATATGGATAACAACAAACATGAAAAATTTGCAAAGAACGGGGGCTCACACATAAGGAAGTCCACTTTGCATTTTGTAAACTGCAGTATGAAATCACGTGAAAGAACGTTGTACTTAGAAGATAGTAGTATGTTAGCATACAGTTTATCACAGAGGAAATTATTTACTTCTTCAGAGTCATATGTTTTGCTTGAGAATGGGAGTGTATCTATAATAACTTTAAAAAAGGGCATTGACATCCTAGATAATGAAGTAGAATATTCTACCAGTTTTAACATGCAAGGCAATACATGTAGTTCTCCCTTTTATATGGTCAATGTGAAGATTTACACACATGAAGGAGGGAAATATCAAATATTTCCTTTAGGCACCTTTCTGTATTTCCTTTAGGCACCTTTTCATGTGTGAGTTTGCTTTTCTTTATCATTCCTTAGTAACCTCAATGTCATAATAGCAGTCCTGGCTGTGTCACCCACAGGGTTGGGAGATGAGTGGGTGGAGTAAACAGCATTACAGATACATACTAGTGGACCATTCAGTTACAGCACCTATTGTACAGTATGTTTTAAAGACCATTAACATCCACAGATCAGACTCAGGAAAATATACTGCGTACGGTTCCGTTAAGATACGGCAAAGGAAAAATGCTCTTTGTGAACGAGTACTGGCTTTATTCATTGTCGTTTGAGAGGATGTTGAATGTAGTCACGGATACAACAATACAAAATCCCCATTAGCCCACTACAGTCTGCTGCTTGAGTGTGATGAGAGAAGTCACAGTGAATCCTTGCTTGTTTCAAACCTTCTTTTTGAAAAATAATGATTATTAAATTCTTGAATGAAAGATAACCAAAACCTTTTCTTTATAGCGCTACATACAGTATAATAGATATTAATAGTTATTGCAGTGAATATACAGACATCAGACTCATGCAGGCGTCTGCAGCTTTATCAGTACAGTAATATACAGTATATAGTGCAGATTTCTTCTACTCATACTGTATATCTATATAACTATACTATATATCAGTGCTGTCTTCTGCCTGCTGCCACATAAGCTATGTGGGAAAGGTCAAGAGTCATGCCTGGTTGACTTTGAAAAAAACTGCCAGGGACATCTTACATTTAAAGGAGCACCGTTGAAGATCAGCATACACTCTGTTTCCAGTGTGGACTCTGGCTTGCTGTGACTCTAGCGACAACAAATATCCATTCCCAGATACAGTATTTGCACTCCACAGGCTCCTAGTTCAGCCAAGCTGGTAGTGTATCCAAAAGAGTTCAGGATCCCACAGGTCAAGACCACCTGCAAGGTCCATCCACTTTGAGACCCCAGCTGAATGTCAGGATCTTAGAAGGGGAACTCAATTTGAGGTCAAAGAAATGAAATCCAAGTCCTGTTGAGACCACATGGAATACATATCATCTACAAGGATGGGAAAACCAGTGAGACCCTGAAGAACATCAAACCTGTAACTGAAACTAGAGACCTTACCAAGACTTTAATAAGTAAATATTCTTGCATTGCCAAGAAAAAACTTTGTGAACCCCTGAAATAATTATGGGAATTTCAATTACAATTACAAAATTTTAATTGGCACTGGTTTATTTTTAAATAACCAATGGGGTTTGTATTTACCAATCCAAAGTTTTTTGAGATGAAACAATGTATGACAATAAAAAAATAACTGAGAATTGGTGCACGTAAAAATGTGAACACCTAGTTTACATAGTATAATCAAAAGGAGATTTTAATTTACTGAAACAGTCAGTAATGGGAATAGTAAATCTTAAAGTTTAAAGTTGCTGAAGACTGCTTTTCAGGGAATTTAGTGTATGCTGAATTTTCTTCTTTAAAGCAGTATGTGTCTGTGACCGGCTGCAAATGAAACAGGCGAAATAATCTCCTTTTTTTACTGAATATACAGTATGTGGATATTCAAAATATCAAAAAAGATGGTCCTGTTCTGTATGTCCAGACTTTGAAGATGTTTCTTATTCGGTGGGGTCTTTTAAGCTGCATTCCTCTGCTTTTACACCGAAGCCCA